ATCTAGGTATTTAGAATGTCAGATAATAATTCTTTTGAGGTACACAGAGTTAGACCTGCTGTAACGTGGGTTGTATTCAGTGGTTGAGAGGAGGCTGCAGTCCAAAACTCCCGATGACACTGGTACTAGGAATTCCACAGTGCTTGTCCTTTAATAAACACACTCTTCACCAACCATACAAGGCCCGGTTGAACGGCTGCAGTCTTGTCATACACAAAGCGAGCAGTGTTCATACAACCCGTAATGTTGCTTTGAGTTAGGGAGGTAAAGATATGAGGTCCATCTCAGGCTATGTCCACACGTACCCGGGTATTTTTGAAAACGCAGATTTTTCTATGTGTTTGCACCTTTCGTCCACATGTAAACGACGTTTTCGGTCACTGAAAACAGAGATTTTTAAAAACTCCGGCCAGGGTGGATATTTTTGAAAACTCCGTTTTTGCATTTACGTGTGGACGAGAAGAACGGAGAAAACGCAGAAAACGCAGCGTCAAAGGTGTGCGCCACATTATTGTTTCGGTGAAATGAATTTCTACAATACTGTTACTGTTAATTGTACTCTCTGCAGTGTTTAAATGCTTACATATACACACACAGTTACTGTCCCTCCACACATACGACTCGGTTCTGCTTCTATGCCCCATCCTTGTTTACTATTTCCCACCGTGGCTTCTAAACTTCTGATTGGCCAACATTTCTACACGGTTAGGAATATATCGCCACCTGTTGCTTTGGCATGTTCCTAGCAGCGTTTTCCTTCATTTCTGCGTTTACGTGTGGACGGGATTATTTTTTAAAACGAAAACGGAAAATCTCCGTTTTCAAAAATACCCGTGTACGTGTGGACGTAGCCTCAGTCTATACTTCCATGTGCAAGCACGTTTCTCCCACACCGTGCAGAGGGCAGTGACACATACTAGTGACATCACTAAACATTAACTTGGGTTGTCTTAAAGAGACACAGTTGTGACTGTTACACTGTTTCTACATTCTTCTCTGTAGAGCTTCTTTCAGTGTGTCAGAGGAGAAAGAAGTCAAACTCCTGCATGGGGCTAAACTACGAGAAGATAACAGAACAAATGGGAATGAAATAAAAACTTAAAGTGAGAAATGGATGGATTATGTGGTGTGGGATTTTTAAAATAAATCCTCTTTTGTGCTTGTTAAGTCACTGATGAGGTCCAGAGAGATTTCATGTCAGAGACTGAGAGAGAGTGGAACAGTGGTGGTTGAGTTGAGACTTCGTC